GGAAATATTATAGAGGAATCTGAAGATTAGACAGCACAGGTGTAGAATAAAACCGTCATTGCAATGGGATTGCTTTTCAACATCAAGACAAAAATCCTCACCACCAGGCCAACAGGCAAGGTCATGAAAGATGGAGAAAAGATTTAATTTGTCAATGATTTCGTCTTGCTTGGATCTACAATCAATGCACTTGGCACCAGTAGTAGTTAAGAAATCAAAAGATGTATTGCCCTGGGAAATTCTACTGTAAAGGAATTATCCAAAATACTGAGGAGCAAAGATATCAGATTGAAGACTAAGGTGTGCCTGATTCAAGTCATGGTCTTTTCAGTCACTTGCTATACATCAGAAAGCTGAACAACTAACATCTTCAGATGACAAAATCAATGCCTCGAGTTGTGGTGTTGGAGAGAAGTACTGAATGGACTGCCAAAAGAATAGAACATGGTTTATTCTTTTCTGCACTTGTGCTTTCAACGCTATTTAACACTGCCTAGGATTCCTAGTGGGTTGTTGCTTTTGTTGTTATGTGTTGTCGAGTCGCCTGCGACTCATAACAACCCTATGTACAGCAGCTCTGAAACCTGCCCTGTCCTGAGCCAGTCCCACTGACTCCGACACACCAACCCCCATTGCCTTAGTTCCTGTGTAAGCCCATCTCATCCAGAGTCTTCCTCTCCTGCTCTGTCCCCCCACCCTTCAAAGGTTGATGTCCTTCTCCAAGCACCAGTCCCTCCTGGCCACGTGCACAAAGTATGTGAGATGGATCTACAAAATCCTAGCCTCCAAGGAGAAAATTGGTTTCACCCTTTCTGAGACAGACTTATTTGTTTTCTTGGTGGTCCATGATATGTCCAAGACTCTTCTCCAGCACTACAACTTGAAGACCTCGATTCTTCTTCTTAGTCATTGTCCAGCTCTTTCATGTATAGCAAGTAATTGCAAAGACCATGGCCTGGATGAGGTGCACCTTAGTCTTTAGACTGACATTTTTGCTTTTTTGTACTCCAGAGAGAGGTCCCTGATGGCAGATTTTCCCAGTGCAAGTCATCCTTTGATTTCCTGACAGGTTGTTAACAGCCACAGCTTGCCTGGCTCCACAATCTACACTCTTGGCACCAGCAGTCTAGTGTGTACTTTGGAAAATATCTAGCTGCTATCCAATAGATAGATCAGATATATCAGATCATTTTGAGCTAGAGAAAGGTATGCAATCTCACTCTTTAAAACCAACCGAGGATCTCTTTGAATGAGAAAGGATTAAACAGCAGTGATACCTAGTAACTCTACTGGTAAAATGTTTTAATTGTTGGGCTGTTTATCAAAAAACTAGCAGTTTTAATCCCTTAGCCACTTTGTGACAGAAAGATAAAGCTACCATTAAGATCCAAAGGCTCAGAAAAAGATGCCAGGGCCATCATGAATTGCAGTTTATTAAATGCTTCGATGGCCTGTTAGTAAGGAGCTGTGCTGCCAACCTGAAATCATACGGCTTGAATCCACCAGCCACTCCACTAGAGAAAAAGAAACAAGGTCTCTGAAAACCCGCTTGAGGGTGAACTATGGATTGGTTCCAATTTGACGATACTCAACAACAGACTGCTGGTTTAAACAATACTTGAAGTCAGGATAGTTGTTTTTAGGTTTGGGTTTGTTTTCTTTTTGTCTTATAGCACTATTACTTCCCATCCTATCAGTAGAGTGAGACTTTCTACAGGATGCTGTTATCTCCAACTCATAGAAACTCTAGAAAAGAATTGAACATCCTCATACAGTTTGGTAGGAGGCAGATTAACTTTACAGCCGAAAACAACACCAACAGTACTTATGAGACAGATTGTCAGCCATTTCTCTCCCTCCCTCACCTATATGGAGCAGCTGGTGAGTTAGAACGTCTATTCTTCCAGTTAGGAACTGAGCTCTTTACCTTTGTATCATCAGAGCTCCTTCCGTGCAACTTAAGAAGGTCTCAATAAGGTTTCCATTTGTATATTATCTTAAAAATAATTTCTTCATTTTGATCATTCCACATGAGTAAAAATGTTCAATAGTGTTTTGCACCTAATACTTGTTGTTGTTATGTGCCATCGAGTTGCTTGTGACTCATAGAGACCCTATATACAACAACCCTGAAACTTGCTCTATCCTGTGCCAACCTTATAGTCTCTGACACACCTACCCTCATTACCCCAACCAATCCATCCCATTCATGGTCTTCCTCTCTTCCACTGTCCCTCCATCCTCCCAAGCATGATGTCCCTCTCCAAGATCTGGTCCCTCCTTGCATCATGCCCACAGTATGTCAGATGAAGCCTCAGAATCCTTGCCTCCAAGGAGCAGCCTGATTTCACCCTCTCTAAGATGAACCTGTTTGTCTGCCTAGCAGTCCATGGTATATTTATTACTCTTCTCCAGCACAACTCAAAGGCATCAATTCTCTATCATCTCTAGTCATTTTCCAGCTTTCAGACGCACTGCAAGTAATGGCAAAGACCATGGCCTGGATCAGGCACACCTTAGTCTCCAGATTGATGTCATTGCTCTTCAGTACTCTGGGGAGATTCCTGAGAGCAGATTTTCCCAATGCAATTTCTCTTTTGATTCCAGGCTGCTGGTACCAAGAGTGTTGATAGTGGAGCCAAGGAAACGAAAGCTGTTAATATTCTCAATCTCTTCACTGTCTGTCTTAATGCTCCAATTGGCCCAGTGGTGAGAATCTTTGTTTTCTTGAAGTTGAGCTTCAGTCTATCTAATACTATTAACTCATTATTTCTAAAAATACCTGTCCTTACATTCACATACTTTTGTAAATAAATTCATTATCCAATGTCTTTCCTACTTTTTGCCAGAGTAACTAGAGTTCTTCTTTATCTTTTCTCTAATAAAATTGTTATCTAGATAAAATTAAAAAATGAGGGGAAGTTACAACTGGTCAAGAAGTGTCCATCCCTGGAGTAGGTCAATGAAAAAGAGGAAGACCTTCCAAAAGATGGACTGACCCAGTGGCTACAGAGGCAGCCTCAAGCACTAGCAGAGATTGTGAGGATGGCCCAAGATGGTGCAGGGGTTCCCGGGTCTGGCACAGGATGGCTGTGATTGGGAGCCAACTTAAAAACACCTGAACAACAACCATTGGTGGGTCAGGAGTTGTAAGGTATCTTTGAGCTAAGAGAGCTGCTTTTTCTTATATCTTGAGCCGTAATGGAGAAGACTTGGGAGGGGAGGGAATCCAAACAGCATAGAGTATTCACCTTGAAGTGCTTTCTCAGCCTGTGTGAGTGCGCGCGTCCGCTTCCCTCAACCTAAATTTTGGATTTGGATTTACAAGACCTGATAATTGGGTCATTGCTTCATGATAACCCGAAAGGGGATCGGGGCAACTCAATCCTGGACCGCAGCGGCTCTGGGAACTCCCAAACGTATTTGGGGGCCACGTTCCAACAACTCACAAAGTTTACAGAAAATCCATCCTTCTTTCCACCTGGACTGCGTCCCTCATTATGGGATCCAGGCACACATGGTGATTCTAGCAACATGGGGTTTACGCCCAGCCCTTGCTCCTGTTGGACTGTTCTCTGCACCCTGCGCGGCAAAGCCTCGGATTTGGGGTTTTCAGGGTGCCCTGCGGAACCTGGGAGGAGCCAGTGGGGTGAACCTGGAGAAGCAGGAAGTCGGAAGGATCTGCGAGGAGAGGATGTCGTCGTGGTGGGAAAATATGGGGACTATCTTGGGTTTGGGGCTCTGGGACCTGCACCCCAAGTAACCTGGAATTAGGCAGGGTTAGGACCTAGTATCTGTGTCCTGGAGGCTCCTCAAAAGAGACCTGGGGCGCCTGGAGGGCTAGCACAGCCTTACCTATTCCAGGTGCTCACTGGTAGCCAGCTTAGAAGTGACGGCGCCGGCCACGTACCAAGCCTTCCAGGGGGCGCGGGCGGGTGGGTGTGGGGCGCACGGGACCGGCCCGACCTGTGGGACCCGGGGCCCTGGCTGTCTGGGGAGCCCGTCACCCCGAGGCAACCTGCTCTTCCGGGGCTGGGACGGCTGTGGGCGGCGGGAGGCCTCGGTGGCGGTGGCACCCTCATAAATACTGCGGAGGGCAGGGCCGCCGGAGACGCGTGCGGGGCAGCGGCGCCCCAGGGTGAGTCGGGGTACCCAGGGAGCCCCCCACCCCAGCTCCTGGCCACTGGACCGCAGCCTTGCCAGCTTTTCACGGAGCCCGAGCTGTTGGAAAAGGAAGGCTGGGGAGACGCACAGAGGACAGCGCAGCAGTCAGATGGGGACCCACTTCAAGTGGAGGTTGGGTGGAAGTGATAGGGCCTCTAAAGTCAGGATGGGGACGCTGGATGATCTGGTCCGGCAAAGACAAAATGGGGTCAGTGAAGACCAAATGAGGTGCTAGAGATAGAGAATGGGACCCCTCAGAGCCAGATGATGTACTGGGGATGGGTTGGGAGATTGGGATCATTAAGGCCAAGAGGGCGGACAGAGGCTAAGATAGGAATGGCAGAGTCCCCCTGGCTGAAGATTGAAAGACTAGGAGTGTGGAGGATAAGGTCACAGAGGCATGGGTGACTAAAAACAGAATGGGGTGTTGGGGAGAGGGTTCCTTTCCTGCCTTGAGCCCTCAACTCTGCCCAAACGCATTCTCCTGACAATGAGCCCTGGAAGAGCCATGCCTGCTTGCTCCCCCACATCCTTTAGTCTCTAGATTCCTCAGTTGCCTCATCAGAGACATAGGTTGATGATTCTGACAGCATGCACCTCATAGGAATGCTGCGAGCTCATCGCGGAGGAGTTTAGCATAACCAGGCTCAGAGGTTGGCTGCTCCAAGGCGAAGCTTATTTTTCTTTATCTCCAGCACCTGGATAACTGTCTCCCCTGAGGATCCTCTAAAACATCAACATCACTTCAACCCCTCTGTCTTCCGTCCTCACAGCCCCTCAGGCCAGCTGAACTCCCCCTCATCCCTCCCCTTCTCTACCCCATCCCCCCTGCTACCATGTACCTCCTTCCTCCCTTCTGGTTCTGCTGCTGTCTGCTCCTCCTCTCCTTCCCAGAGGTCCAGGGGACCCCAGAAGATCTCAGAGTCACCCCTGAGCAAGTCCATCTGTCCTATCCAGGTGAGTGTCTGTAACCCCCGCCCTGGAGTCCACAATGTGGGACACTCAGTAGATGATTGTCTTTTCTGAGCCTCAGTCATCTGCTAAATGGGACTGTAAGCAATGGTGCCTCTGGCTGTGTAGGATGTTATAATGATAACCTGTAGTTAGCACTCCCCCAAAAGGGGTTGCTGTTCTTAATCAGGTGTCACTGTCACTGCTGTCTTAGCATCAGGACCTGACACAATAGTAAACTCAGTTGTGGAAGAAACAGACGAATAAATGATTAAAGAAATGGATTGTCTAGACTTTCTTCTAGTTTCTTTGCTTCTTCCAAGCAAAGTACTCCTTAACCAAGGTGCTAAGAAGTGAACTCTGAACGCTCTGGATCCAGATGGCCTGGGTCTAAATTCCAGCTTTGCTACTTATCTGCTGTGTGACCTTAGGCAATTGACTTAAACTTTCTGGTCCCAGGCTTCACATCTAAACAAAGAGATACTATGAGCCTGAACTCAGGACAGTGACAAATGTGGTGGAATGGAATGGTGCTTGGCAGGTGGTAGCAATTTTCAGGCTTTCTGATCTTGTTATGTGCTGTGGAATTTCATAGTTGATCCTCCAGCAGGTTTTCTGAGGCTATAAATCACATGGAAGGAGATGGTTCATCTTTCTCTTGAAGAGTAATTGGTGGATTTGAACCTTGTGCCTTTGTGTTGGCAGCACAACTCTTTACCCATAGGCCACTAGAGTTCCCTTTTTGGTCTTGAGATTCCTCTATACTGCAACAAAGGAGTATCTCTAAGACCTTTGGTTTGCCATAGTTACAGCTATCATTACTTTTACCCTATTAGAAATGAAAACACAGAGATATTTTAAAATACGGGGTAGCCTGGCTGAGACACTGTGATTTTAAATTAAATCTTACGGTCTTTGTGAAAAAAAAATTATTAAACCATGTGAGATTTACTATAAAACCATTGTGTATAAATGTACATTATATTTTTGAGGGAAAGTAGCTATTGTACAAAATAAAAGCGATTGGACATCTCTGTAAGCCTTTTTGATGTCTGGCTCGGTAGACAGATGAACTCTCTGCCTATCTCCTTCTGCATTCAGTCTTCAGCTCTGGGCTGCTGAGGTCGATATATATGAAGACAATCTGGTCTTACAGCGATACGTGGTTGAAACAGGGAGGAGTGTTTTAATGGCAGTGCCAGATAATTAGAGATATTCTTCTTTAATTCTATGGCAAAACTAGACCAGTAGTTGTTTGCTCTTCAAGAAGTTGTTTATAGCTTCTGATTTGAAAGGATTTTAGAGTTAGGAGTATCAAAGACAGCACAGGATTCCCAGCTCTCCGTCACCTCTCCTGTGAATATTTCACATCACTCTGGCACAGTTGTCAAAGCCAAAAAATTACCTTTGACATAATAGTGTCAATGGAGCTATGGACTCGATTGAGATGGTGCCAGCATTTTCACTGGTGTCAAGACTTGTTGCATTTCTTTGCCGTGTTTCCACAATCTCATCTATTCTGTGGCATCTCCACACTCTTTCCATGTCTTTGATGCTTTTAAAGGAGTTTGCTTTTTTAAAAGTTAGTGGCAAGATGATGTTCGAAATTACTTCAAAGAACTGGCTTTGGCATTTACTGGTCTGGTGACCCTGGACAAGGCATTTCACCTGGAAACCTCTGGGAAATGGATGGACAGTAAGGTCGAGTACACAGTGAACATTAGTGCACTACAGCTCTTTGTTTTAGCCATAAAATGGCTTTCCTGGATCATTTCTTTAAACTTGTTCAACCTTCAGTTTTTGGTTAATTGTTACTCCCATTTTACAGAAGAGGAAAATGAAGGTTCACAGAGGTGAAGATAATTGCCCCTAGTCATGCAGCCTAGGATTGGAACCCTGGCAGGCTGGTTCATGAGCCCATTTATCTTTGTTTTTAAAATTTTTAACAAGATGGATTGACTCAGTGACTGCAACAATGGGCTCAAACATAGTGACAGCTGTTAAGATCGCAGATTTGGGAAGTGTTTTGTTCTGCCATTCATGCGTCTGTTATGAATTGGAATTTACATGAAAGCACCTAACATCATTAACAATAAAAATACATTTTAGAGCAAAAATATAACAGTGCTGATCCAAGCATAGTCTCTTTTATTATGTAATATCTATCTGAAAGTTGAACAATGACTAAGGACGATAGAAGAATTGATACCTTTGAGTTGTTGCTTTGGAAAAGAGTACTGAATATCCCACGGACTGCCAAAAGAACAGGGAAAGTCTGTCCTAGAGAGAGTACAACCAGGTGCTTCTTGGAGGATGGTGAAGTTTCATCTCACATATTTTGGGCATGTTGTTAAGAGGGGCCAGTTCTTGGGAAAGTACATCATGCTTAGAAAGGTGGAGGGTCCATGTAAGAGAGGAAGACCCTCAACAAGATGAATTGGCACAGTTACAACAATGGGCCAAAGTATATCAGAAATGGTGAAGATAGCACATGATAGCTCAAAGTTCAGGTCCATTGTTCACAGGGTTGTTATGAGTTGCAGTCAAATCAAGGGCATATAACAACAATGTTCTATAGAGGGAACTCTGATGGCTTAGTGGGAAGAAAATGCACTGCCAACGCAAGTACGGTGGTTTGAATACACTAGCTCCTGCCTGGGAAAATGTGGGCAATCTCCTCCTGTGTGATTTTTCTGCCTCTGAAACCAGGGAGCCCTGTGGACTAATGAGTGAGCAGTTGTGCAGCCAACCCAAAGGCGGCTGATAGTGCAAAATCAGGCAAGGCCTCTATTTATTGTTCATAGGGCTGCCGTGAGTCAGAGTTGACTTGAGGGCATCTAACAACAACAAAGGACAGACCATATTGGAACTCACGAGTTTTCCCACTAGGGTCTTTTTTCTGTTCCAAGATTTCACAGGGCACTTAGTTGTTTTGTGTCCCCTTCAACCAGTTGCTGTAAAATTGAGTCCCACCCAGGACACTGAATTACATAAGTACAGAGCTATGCCTGAAGGGGCTTCTGTGGCTTATTTTTCAGCAGTAGATCAACAACAGATCTTTCTTTCAAGGTACTCTTAGGTGGATGGCAGCCTTTAGATCATTTCCTCAGCCTTCCCTTGTCTTTATGTTGACATTTCCAGGAATGCAGATTGATTGTCTTAAAGAATGTTTCCCTTTTATGGTTTGTTTGATATTTCCTCCTTGCTCAAATGATATCATGTGATTTTTGGCAAGACAGTATGTAATACTGAGTCCTTCTCAGGGCATCACATCAGGTGGTTCGAGATGTTGATTGGTTTATTAGCTTAGTCTTAATCACTTAGCAGAGGTGATGTCTGCTAAGGTATCTTTTTCTTTGCAGAGTAGCTGGTAGATTAGAACTGCTGATTTTTCAGTTAGCAGCCCAGCACATAACCTACTAAGCCACCAGGGTTCCTATTTGTCCTACCTGGGACTCTGTAGAATTTACAGCTTCAATATTCTGTGCTGCAATCCCGAAGGCATGTGGGAGAACAATGGACACTCTCCTTCTGTGAGATTAACTGCCTCAGAAAACCTGCTGGAGGGTCAGCTATGGGTCAGTTCTGACGTTATGGTAAATAACAGAAACAGTCAGGTCTTACCCTACTTCCAAGATCAGACAAGAGCAGATGCATTTAGGGTGGTATGGCTGTCAAAACGAAAAGAATTCTTTGTTGGCAAATTAGAACCATAGCTGATGCTCCAGCAGGTTTGTGGAGGCTATAAATCCCGTGGAGGCTTGCCCATCTTTCTTCCAGAGCCACTGGTGGATTTGAACCAACAGAGAGGCACTGCCTTTGGTTTAACAGTGCAACTCCCTGTAAACTACTGGTATGACCATGTTTTGTTGTTGTTATATACTGTCCAGTTGAAACCAACTCATAGCTGACTTTCCAGTGAGTTTTCAGAGGCAATAAATCACACATAAGGAGATGGTCCATCTTTCTCCTGTAGAGCAGCTGGAGGATTTGAATCAAGTGCCTTTGGGTTGACATCACAACTTCTTACCACTAAGCCACCACGTTGCTGTTGTTAGGTGCTGTTAAGTCAAGTATGACTCATAGCGGCCGTATGAACAACAGATCTGAACTTTGCCCTATTCTGTGCCATCCTCATCATCTCTGACACACTTGAGCCCATTGCTGAGGTCAGTATGTCTGTTTCAGTCCATCTTGTCAAAAGTCTTCCTCACCTTCGCTAACCCTCCGCCTTTTCAAGGAATAGCCTTTCCTAGCAATATGCCCAAAGAATGTGAGACAAAGTTTTGTGATCCTTGCAACATAGACCACTATACTTTGGAGGCTACTTCCTTACTTCCACTCTCCTCCAGGAAAGCCTCCGGAACCCCATAGAGGATCAGAGAAAGAGAGGAAGACTTTCAACAAGATGATTGACACAGTAACTCTAACAACGGGCTCAGGCATATCAGAGGTTGTGAGGCTTGAACAAGACAAGGTTCATACATGTTGCTAAGAGGGTCACTGTGAGTTGTAAAGGCACCTAGCACCAACATGAGTCAGAACCGACTCAACAATAGTGAGTTGGGGTTCCATGCTTTTTGGTACCCCATATTACTTCAGCTTCCTCTTGCATATTTCCTGCCTCTGCCAGTTTCCTTTTATTGGAGAATGAGTATGTGGAGACCACAATCTGAGTACTGTGTGTGCTCATTGCTACAAGGATGTTGCTTCTGGATCCTCCCAATGAATACCTGTCTACAGGTGCTTGTTTGCATAACTTTGTTCCTATTTTCATTTGCATTTATAGTATTTACAGTAAATATCATGAGATCATACCGATACCTCTGATTTCAGTCCAACACCAAAGGTTCATTCTAGCCTTCCACCTTTCCTTATCTGTCACTTCCTTCTCCAACACCGAGAAATCTAGGCTCTCATTATCCACACTATTTTTATTTGCCCAACTCTAGTATGCACATCAAGCAGCTTCATAATTGTTTAGCTATGTCCTTATGAGAAATTCT